CCTAAAAGCAGTAAAATATTAGCAATAATGCTGCATTATCAAATCAAACTCACTGGTTCACAGATAAACAGTCTACAACACAAGTGTGACTCTGATCTCAGTGATCTTCTCATTGAAAGACAAATGTGAGTGAGATAATGTTCACAGTAAACAAAGACATGAGATTGAAATAAAAAGGATTATCCATAACAAAAAGAAACAATTGAATTGAGGGAGATCAAATGAAAAGCAAAGATAATTAAGAAACAGATAAAAAAAATATTGTCAAAAAAAAGAATCATAAGTTTGTAATAAAATACACACCAGGAAGAGAGGAGTGAAATCTACAACAGGCAAAATTAACCAGATACTACAGAAAATGAATAAAAGGAGTGAAAAAACACACCAAAGATCATTAAAAGGACAATCATGAAAGAGCAACGTAGTGGAAATATTGAGAGAAAAGAATTACAGCAATAAATAATAACAATAGCAAACATCAGAGCAGAATGTAAACTGGAAAAATACAAACATGTTAGCAGAATAAAACCGAGGAAGCAGTGCGGAGACTTTCCACTTACCCATCAGAAGCAGAAACCGACTCCACCGCATCTTTAATCTGCCACATAATGAAAACATCTTTTCTTTAATATACAGTAAAAAGATGACAACACTTTGAATGTAAAACGTGTCGTTTTAGTGTGTGTGTAGAGAAATGACATTCATATAGAACTTGCACTTAAAATGCTGGAAGTCACTGTTTTGTTTGATACTGTGTTTGGATGTGTTTCTCAAGGAACTGTATGAAAACACGTTTTAGTTCTTTTAACATTCAAATAAAATGATCTGTTGAATTAATCTGATAAACCACATCTCTAATTGAGAAAATCTTACCTTAAACTCAGGTTAAGAAAATTAAACCTCTAATACAACAGCTGGTAAATGATCTGAAACACATTCGGTACTTAGAATATTTTATGATGCATAGAGTTTATTACTTTTAGCTTCTCTTTAATATCTTAGTGTTTATTCTTCATATATGTAATTGTGTACAGTGACGCTGGTTGCACATTGTTAATTCATGAAGCTTTTATCAGTCTGTTGTTGCTTTTGCCATTAACTTGTCACATTTATCCAACAAATACAAGGTTTTTAAGAAATAGCAACATCTAATCATGAATGAAACCCTCATCAGTTGAGCCTATACTGTATAAAGTTTAACCTGGAAGTGTATTAAGTGCTACCCAGGAATCAAGAAAAACCAGACAGTATGTATAAAATGACCCATTTATTACTAAATACATCACAAGTCCCCAAAAGGCCGTTCCTATAGTCTGGTCTGGACGCTCTACTTTAAATTTGTCTGATTATCATTTGAAGCGACAGCTCTGTTTAGGTCATTGATGAGATACTGTGTGATCATTTTGCAGTGCTGTACAGAAAGGTTGGGTTGGATCCCACAATTGTTCTGTGGGACGCAGATCACATTTTGAAGAGAGGACCCAAATGCAGACGTTGGGAGACTAAACTTAACAAAAGCAAGCTGTTCATTAAGGCTGCAATCATAAAAAATACATAACAAAGGCAAAAGGAGACTCGGACTTTGACTAAAACCAAGCTATACTGGGAAATCCACTGTCTGATGTCTGTCGTCGAAGTGTTCAAGTAAATCGGGAAGTACTAACAAACAAAGAGAAGGCTTTATGGAGAGCATGAATGGATTTAAATATTAAAATAGTGCAGTCCTAATCAAATCAGCAGAAGTATCATAACAGAGCATCACTGATGGCTGTCCAACAAAAATAAACTGAAAGCATCATTCTGTCTCGCCCTTTTTTCACTCACAAACATAAAATATAATAATTTTCCCCAATAATTGTAAGACTATAATTATATTGTTGTCTATTGTTTTTGAACTGACTCCTCATTATGAATATAATAATA